TTAGCCACCATGTGGGTGCTGGGAATTGAACCTGGGTCCTCTGCAAGAGCAGTCAGTGCTCTAAACTGCTGAGCCATCTCTCCAGCCCCAAATTCCACATTGTTGCTCCGCAATCTATTTTGTTCTCTGATCCATGTTCTTTGATTTTGTTTCAACTTTCACCTCCAGGTTTCTAAAGATTATTAATAGGGATATCAGAGCTGCTTGGGGTATAATCAAGTTCCTCTCACTACCTGCTGTATAGGTTTCAGCCTTTATAGATTTCTTGCTTTTTTATATAAGAATGATGTGATTTCTGTAGTTTCATTTCAGTTGCTCTGACAAAACACCCTGACAAAAGCAATTCTAGGGAGAAAGGGTCTACTTGGCTTACAGTTCCAGGTTCTTGTCCATCATGATGGGGAAGTCAAGGCAGGAACTTGAAGCAGCTGGTCACATCCACAGTCAAGAACAAGGAGAGAATGAATGCATGCATGCCTACTCAGCTCACTTTCTCTGCTCTTAGACAATTTAAGACCTAAACCCAGGGAATGATGCTGTTCACTTTTAGGGTGAGTCATCACACATCAATTAACGTAATCAAGGCATACTCCACAGGCATGCCCACAAGTTACCTTGCTCTTGACAATCTCTCACTGAGACTCTTCTGAGACTTTTTTTAGATTGTGTTAACAATTGAAACTAACCATCACAAGAGGTATAGAGAGTGCTCTCATTTTGCAGAATTGGCTAAATAAAGCCTAAGAATCAACCTTTAACCACAATAATGCATTAAAAATCTTACTTCCGTTTTATAGAAGGCCTATGGACTATTCATGACCATGAAGCCAGAGACCAGGAAAGCCAAGATGGAAATTCAAGGCAAGTCCAAGTATTAATATTAGGATGGAAGATTAGTAAGAAAGAAAAGTCTTGATTGGAATACTAGGAGTGGGGGACCAATTGTTTATATTAAATGTGATAAAACTGGCATTGGAATGAATCTCAAAGAATATAACCCAAATAGGAATGCTCTTCTTTCTGAGAGACTTTATTTAGGATCAAGAGATTGAAACTTTGTAGTTATCTTTTTATCCTTCTGAATTATGCACTAAACTGGCCTACATTATAGAAAATGTGGTCTGGCAGTTGAGAATTCCTGAGACTATAATGCAGGGGAAACCTCATTCTATCCAATGTTAAATCACAGTGTAAATCAATGTTCTCAGTAGAGAAACTGTATGAAGCTAACAAGCATAGGAATATCTCTAATGTTGTCTATCAAAGTTACTCAGAGAGGACATAGCACCAAAGAAGCCTTAAAAGGCCTGCACATTAATGAATTGGGAACTGTCTCTCTAGGAAAGAACTCACAAAACGTCAGAAAACTTATATCCAACAGGAAAGCTATGATTGTAATGAATGTGGAAAGTCCTTCTGCCAGAAGTCTTCCCTCATAACACACCAGCGCACACATACTGAGAAGGCTTTTGAATGTGAGAAGTGTGGAGAATCATTTTATAAAAATGAAGACCTAAAAGCACATCAGAAAATTCACACCAGAGATAAAACCTATGCATGCAAAGAATGTAACAAAGTTTTCTACTGTTAGGGTTCCAAATAGCAGCTCCCCCCCTCCCCCACAGGGACCTACAAACTCTGCTGAGAAGCAGCCTGCCTTTCCTCTGACCTCC